GTTTTAATCTGAGGTCTGCACAGAAAGTAAGTTAGCCAGGAAGTAAAAGTTTGGGCCTCAGTTCATGCCTCTACACAGTGTCTAAATGTGGCATGAGCTAGTTGTTTTTTAATTACAATGTTAACAAGACCTAAAATATTTAAAACAATAGAGGGAACATTTGTGGAATCTCTGGATGCCCTTTGTAGACCCAATAATTCCACAGAACGTAGTCTGATGCCCTCTGAAGTATTGGAGTCTATGGTGTGAAGACGAGGAAGGCAAAGGGGATGGCAGACAAGAACCAGAATACAGACGTTAGAATTCCCCAAGCTATTTACAATCTATCTGGTGAATTCAGACTTAAACCTGGCCACAAATGGCTTGTCTCAGTGTCAGTTTCCCTACTTCCAAAATGAGATGGTTGATAAGGAGTTCTCCAAACACCGGATCTAACAGCACTGATGTCACCTAGCATGATGTATGATCCAATTTAGAAAAAAAAAAAAAAGATTTTGAATCATAGAGATGTGAAGACAGCCCTTCCCTGAGCTGCAGCTCGTAGTGCTTCCTGATTATCCTCATCGGGCTAGTGGTGGTGTCCCAGGTCCTGCTTCTCAGACTCTCCCTGTCAGACCTGACTGCACAATCACGGATGACCAAAACCACTGGCTGAGTGGTTGCTGTCTCTTTTTCTTTGACCTTGATAGACAAAAACAAGGGGCACCATACACTGCATTTGACATGGGACGTACTTAGAAATGTCGACTTTAGAATGACTCTAAATACAATTTTAGCTTGCCTTGTAGTCATTTTACTGAATAAGCACATATTCTTGAAACACTCCTGTCACCAAGATCATAGAGCCATATGAGTCATGATTCTTTTTTTTTTTTTAAGTTTTTAATGTTTGTTTATTTTTTAGAGAGAGAGAGAGAGACAGAGTGTGATCAGTGGAGGGGCAGACAGAGAGGTATAGACACAGAATCTGAAGCAGGCTCCAGGCTCTGAGCCTTCAGCACAGAGCCTGACATGGGGCTCAAACTCACGAACTGTGAGATCATGACCTAGCCGAAGTCGGACGCTTAACCGACTGAGCCACCCAGGCACCCCACATGAGTCATGATTCTTACGTGCATCACTTATGTGCAGTGGAAAGAACCTCCCTACTCGCTTCAATTTTCCACACATGTAGGATTTCAGTACGGGTCACAGAAGTTAATTTTCATGGTTTCAGAGAAATTGCTGCTAAAAAGAACCCATGTCAGGTGTTAAGTGTAATGTCTCCCCGCCCTACCCCAAGCTCTTCACAGTCCCAGCTCCTTCTTGGACCACAAGGGGTCTCAGGCATATATTTATGGACACTTCGATCCAAATGTCCTCATTCTGCCTGTATGTCTGCGAACTCTTGTTCTCTGACTTGGGTGAACACACAAGTGGGGCAATCTGCTCTTAGGAGGAAGGACCTAAGACAAGTCCATGCAGTTCTCAGTCAGTCAGGGAATTCCAATGCCCTAAGTGTGGCGGGATGAGGATCAGGGTTTCTCAGGCTCTAGCTGGAGTATCTCCCTGGTACCTTGGATTCCCTGTTCCATGAACAGAGGCCTGGCTGGAGAGGGGCCAGTGCAGACTCCTCTAACATATGAGAGGGGCGCCTAAGTGGCTGAGTCACTTAAGTGTCTGACTCGTGATTTCAGCTCAGATCATGACCTCATGGTTCGTGAGTTGGAGCCCCGCGTCTGGCTCTGCACTGACAGCACAGAGCCTGCTTGGGATTCTCTCTCTCCCTCTCTCTCTCTCTGCCCCTCTTCTGATTGCATGCTCTCGCTCTCTCTCTCTCAAAATTAATAAACATTAAAAAAAAAAAAGGATGAGATTCAGGCCAGGGACCCCTCTTGCATGAGTCTAAGGTATCCACAGTAGCCATTCACATCTTAATTCTACAACCTTTAAATAAATAGGTATAAACAACCTCTTCTCTGTATGGGTATATGTGCATGTCTGATTGTATACTGAGCAAAAAGTATCCAATACTCTCTAAAGACACCTGAGTGTCATGCTGGAGGCATCCCAGTAAAATCAGACATCTAAAGGACACTTAACCCCCCTCCCATTATCAGATGAAGACAAGCTAAGTCATTTGTTATACAACCTAAGTTACGAACCACCTACAGCTACAACTATCGACCAGACTTATAATAACTGTCCTAGATTTCTACCCCTAAGGCCAGTTCCTTCAAGGAGCTTACGGCCTGATATAAGGCTTTAATAATTACAAACAAAACAGAAAGCAGTATTATGAAGGACCCTCTGGAAATACTGGGGGAGGAATGTGAGATTGATTTCTGTAGGGAGTAACAGAAGGGGACGTTTGAGTCAGGGTTTGGAAGATAACTAATAGATTAGCATTTCTCGTGGCTGTAAGATGTCAGTTTCGAATCAGTTAACTTGTAATTCCTGTAACATTCCACAGATTAAGTTGATTCCCAGGTCCGGTATGACATAACCCACTAAAAAATGTGTATTTCCAGAAAGTGGAGTGCAGTCTTTTTCTCTTCAAGAAATTCTAAAAATAAATACCAGTTCAGTCTGAAAAACTGTGCTTCTAAGTCTTTATATATCATAATGTGTACGCAAACTATATGCATCATGATACTAAATGAATTTCTCTCTAAATCAAAAACCACAAAACAATGGGAAAAGTTTTAAATGCAGTACCCGTTAGGAATCATAACCTTTATTACTGGCATGAAATTTCAGCCATCATGCTTTCTAATAAAGTCAAATCTGTTCCTGTGTGTTTCCAAGTTGCTAGTAGTTTTTACTTTATGTCACCATAAGAAATAGAGTATGCAGTAAAAACTATGGACACTGAAAAATCAGGTATTTATGACTGCCTTTCCCCTTTTCTCTATGAAATAATTTGACTACATCTTCCTGTCTGAACATATCCACTGTCAGCAAGAGTGGAATGTTAATTGATGTTACGCACAAGCTGGGCTATCATTCCTCAAGTTTAATAAGCAAAAAAGAAACAAAAACAAAACAAAACCAACCGAGTTTCCTGTTTTTATTTATGATTCTCTGTGCCCACTTGCGGGTGATCAAAATAAAGTGTCTCAGTTATGGCTCATCTTTCCCTCAATTAATGTACCCAAGAAGACCAGTTCTTTCTATATGCTACTTCTGATGACCACAGGGATCACAGAGCTTATTTAAGCTTTTCATCAGGGACTCCAAACAACATGCATGACATTCTAAGGAAGCTCGCAGCCTACCTACCCCTTCCCAGTGAGGAGACACACATACTTAGCATTTCTGTGATTATGTAAGAATACAAGAGCTCATTGGACCCAGCCCAAAGCTGAGGCGTATCCTTTAAATACCATCTTTTGCCTTGTCTTCTCAAAAGTGATGGGCAAAGAGAAAACAAGTATGATTTCTCTTTTAACAATGGTGACACACTCCTGGGAATCCTCTGTAAAAATTCTGACGGCCCTAGGTAAAGTGTACAACGTTGGGAAAGTATGTGGTCTTACACGTCCAAGTTGTAGTATCCATATTTTGGGAGTGGGAAAATGGAATACTTTTGTAAACTGAATGTTTTCCTAAGACAAGTTATCTCTCTTACAGAATTTCCAACTCCTCTGCTGTTTATTTCTCAGCTGAGGCATTACTGGAATTTCGGTAAACAATTCTTTGGTGGGCAGAATATCGGCCTCCTTGTGACCACCACCATCTCCCAAGTCATTAAGATGACCAAAGATGCTGCCATCTATTTCTCGGCTGTGGCCTCCAACCAGGGCAGTGCTTCTCCTGATTGAGAATCACTTCAAGACTAAAGACGGACTATGTGAAAAATGACATACTGACCCAAGAGCATTCTTTTTCTTAAGGCTTCATCTAATGCTTTGAGGACAATTTTTAGAGTGTTCTCGGATGCAATGGGATTCTCAGCATCAAACAGTAGCACAGTAAAGGGACATTCCTTGGCTTTTTGTATCTCTGCAGAATTCACTGTTATGTAAAACAGGTATTTCAAAGATATGTTACTGGTGCCTACTTCTGGGCTCTTTTTATAGTCTGGGTGCTGAATTTCCCAAAAATTCATCTCAGAAACAATGAACTAGAAGGAGAAACAGAAGGTAACCAAAGTCAATAGCTATTATGGTTTTGTGTCTGAATGAGACTAAAAAACAGGATACCGTAACTGTCATTCTTTGCCAAAACAGGCCCTTATGTTTACTCTTTGTATTTTGACTTGGATGAAGGCTCTATACAGTGTGTGTGTGGGTGCTGCTTGTTCATGAGTTATCCAAGTTCACTATAAATTTAATATCTTCTTCATAGTAACACAGCTCCAGAAGAATGCCTTCACACACCTCTGCAGGCACCTAGCTGTTTCTCAAACAGGATACTTCAGACAGATGAATGTTCTCGGTGCCCATCTTTCCTAGCCCTTGAGCTGTATTTCCCCTGACTTTGCATATGCAGCTTTGAAAATACTGGTTATGGCAAAAAGCATTTTGAAACTTTTAACTGATTCCTTTCTAGTGGCTACCATGTGAGAGACTATTTTTGCAAATGGGTGACATGACAAGCCCAGTCTGGATGTATCTGTAGCTGTAAGCAAAACCCTTCCTTCCTAGCCCTGCTTTTAATTTTTATACTTTATTTTATTTTTTTAATGTTTATTTATTTTTGGGATAGAGAGCACAGCGGGAGAGAGTAGAAAGAGGGGGAGACACAGAATCTGAAGCAGGCTCCTAGCTCTGAGCTGTCAGCACAGAGCTTGATGTGGGGCTTGAACTCATGAACTGTGAGATCATAACCTGAGCCAGTCAGACACTCGACCGACTGAGCCACCCGGGTGCCTTGTAGCCCTGCTTTTTAAAAAGTGTGAAGACATTCTGTCCCTCAAGTGATGGGCAGTAATAATATTAAGGGCATGGTATGGGGAAAGTTCATCGTTTAAAAGAGGAAACATAAACCTAATGAAAGAATAGCACTTTCTCACTCACCACTGAGGTAAGAGCCATCTGAAAACTGTAGATGCGGGCAAGGCCAAAATCAGCCAGTTTTATTTGTCCACTGCTGGTCACCAGAATGTTCTGTGGTTTCAGATCACGATGCACTACTCGGTGAGAATGAAGAAAGTCCAGACCTCGAAGAAGCTGAAACATCATATCCTAAATAAAACAAAAAAAGAAAATCAATAAGCTGTAACAATAAATTCAACATACTGAATCCTTCGTGTTAGAAGCCCTTGACAGGTATTTGCTGAATAAATGAATTCCCTTCCTACCTCTCCAGTATCCTGTTTTCAAGGTCACTATAAAAAATTTTACATCAACCTGTATTCTATTAATGAAAGGAAAATTTAAAAATAGGTTCAGATGGTATAGGCAATATTCTGAAAGATAAAAACCAAACTGGTGTCTGTAGTTAATGCTGGGAGAGGAAGTAGGTGGTAAGAGGGGAGACACTTTTTACTTCATATACTTTTATATGATTTGTTATTTCAACAAAAAAATCCAGGAAATGATAATTTAACAGTAATTCCCATTATTTTTAGAGTACCTAATACTAAGCAGTTAGTACATGTCAAGCACTGCTTTAAACACCTTCTGTTTAGAAACTCAATGCATAACCCAACAGTGAGGTAAATAATATCATTGCCTCATTTTATAGGTAAAGAAACAGGTATGTGTAATTAGCCCAAAGTAACACCACTATTCAAGAAATAGTGCTGATTCAAACCCTGGTCTAGAAAAAGTGGGTTCAAATTCAAATTCCCAGTGCACTCCTTTATTAGATCAATGATCTAATGAGCATGTAAAGCCAGGTAAACCATTTAATCTTATTGAGCCTCAATTCTCCTGTCTGTAAAGTGGGAAAGCAACAAAGCCTACTTCCTAGGATCACTGTTTGTAAAGCACTTAACGCAGTGGTTAGCATTCAATAAACAGTAGCTATTACCATTTATGGAATGGAGAATGGGGCACATTAAAAAAATAAACCAATGTCACATCTTTTTAAAAAATATTTTATTTAAAACAATTTTTTAACATTTATTTATTTTTGAGAGACAGAGAGACAGAGCATGAGCAAGGGAGCAGCAGAGAGAGAGAGACAGAATCAGAAGCAGGCTCCAGGCTCCAAGCCGTGAGCACAGAGCCCGACGTGGGGCTCGAACCCATGAACCATGAGATCATGACCTGAGCCAAAGTCGGACGCTCAACCGACTGAGCAACCCAGGCGACCCACATCTTTTTCTAACTTTGAAACTGGTAAAATTAGAAGCTTTAAGACTCAAACAGTGTCTGAAAGTAGGAATTTAAGACCCTGAGCATTTGATCCTTTGAAATCTGTGGTTAACAAGATTGACCTACCCTCCAAATACTGTGCGCAACAAGGGAGGATGGAATTATTTTGTTCACATAAGGATTAGAGAAATGGTAAGGCAGTACATGGGTGTCACAGCTGCCAGGGTCTGCAAGGACACACTTGTTCATCAGCTGGACCATACTTAGTTACTGGGTTATGGTACTGGTTCTTCCTTCAGAGCTGGGAGTTCTGTCTTTACATCCTGGCTTGTTTGAAACCAAAGCCTCAATTTTCCATAAAACTAAGAGAAAACGGTGTTCACTTTTTAAAAAATAATATAACAAGATGGGGCACCTAGGTGGCTCAGTCGGTTAAATGTCTGACTTTGCCTCAGGTCATGATCTTGCAGTTCATAGGTTTGAGCCCTGCGATGGGCTCTGTGCTGACGGACAGAGCCTGGAGCCTATTTCAGATTCTGGGTCTCTCTCTTTTTCTGCCCCTGCCCCACTCATACTCTGTCTTTCTCTTTCTCAAAAATAAACATTTAAAAAAATGATAAAACGAGATTAAATGAAGTAATGTATGCAAAGGGGGATAGTATAGTGCAGGTCTGGCACATATTAAGCATTCAATGAATGACAATCATTAAAGTGTCCTGTTTTCCAGAGGGAGACAGAGTCACAAACAAAAAAAATGTGGCCAGTGCCACAAGGTCAGTAAACAAAGCACTAAGCAGTGGTATGCAATGACACAGGTATACTAGAATCCTTTCTGAGATGCACCTCAATGGATATTCTGAATGTTCAGGCAGGGTTTACCTTCTAAGTTTTCAAGTACAAAACTCTTGCGGAAAACTGCACTGTCGAGCATTAGTTCAAGACCTGAGAACCACTGCAGGTCACACACCTCACAATGCACACACTTCCAGTGTGAAAACGAAGCGTGCAAAGTTAACAAAAGTAGTCTGCTGGGGCAATCAGTCAATATTGGAAGCGTATGCACATGACTTGTAAGCCCTGGAGTTTAAACAGCACGACTAACCTAAAGTAATGGCATGCCAGCTTGTCTTCTATAACTTCTTATATGCTAAACACCAACCACTTAAAACTGCACAAAGAATAAATCTGTTTGGTTCATTTTTTCATGTTCAAACAGTTTAAGCAGCCAATTAGCAGAATAAAAATTCTGAAATTTGAACTCATTAATTAATAATAAAGCCCATCTAAGTTCATAAAAAACCCGAACCACAGAGTAAAAAAAAAAAAAAGTGTGTATTGCTTTTACTTGTGTATTTATTTATATAGGACATACCACATCTTTCTTAATTATTAAATTGGTACATGCTTAATGCAGAAACTTAAACATTTTTTTACAAATCTAGAAGAACAGAAATCACTCAAGATCCTCTTACTCAAAGAACAGAAAAAACTTCACTATTAAATAATTTTTGTCTTGTCTTTCAAAATTACAGCTATTATTATATTTGTAGGTATAAATATATATTTACATATTAAGTATATTATATATAATGTATATCACAAACAATACTAATATATAAGTGTATTTATAAAAATTATTCTGTACACATTATTTTTTAACTGTTTTAAAAACATTTAATAATTATGAATATTTTGCCACTTCAACAAAATTCTTTTTTAATGCAATATAATTTTTATTTTATTTTAAATATTTATTTATTTATTTTGAGAGACAGAAGAGAGGCAGAGAGAGAGAGGGAGACAGGGAATCCCAAACAGACTCCATGTTGTTAGCACAGAGCCCTATGTGGGGTTTGATCTCAAGAACTGTGAGATCATGACCTGACCTGAGCCGAAATCAAGAGTTGGACGCTTAACTGAATGAGCCAGCCAGATATCCCACCAATGCAATATGATTTTTAATGGCTACATGGTTTTCCTCCCTGGGATATGCCATAGTAATTATCATTTGGTTTTAATTGTGTTATTTATTTTTTTAAGTTTATTTTGAGAGAGAGAGAGAGAGAGAGAGAGAGAGAGAGCATGCCTGCGCTCATGAGTGGGTGAGGGGCAGACAGAGAGGTAGAGAGAGAATTCCAAGCAGGCTTCAAGCTGTCAGCACCAACTGAGATATCATGACCTGAACTGAAATCAAGAGTTGGACCCTTAACAGACTGAACCACCCGGGTGCCCCTATAGTTGTGTTATTTTGGAACTTATATCCAGAGTCTAGTTCTCCTTCATTTAAAGACTAGGGTACAAGAAAATGACTTGTTACCATCATAACTATTACCAACAGCACAGTTTAAATAATGCCAACCCATATAATAATACTAACATTGATTTTCATGTAAATGATGCTTACAGATGTATGGGAAGTTGGTTTACATAAGAATTAACATTCTTTAGATTTTATTCGGCTATTTAAATAATATATTTGTTGAGCAAACTGGGTTTTCTTTTAAACCTACGATACTCAGTTACAAAAGAGTTTTTTGAACTATGTGAGCTTTGAATTAAATGATTTGAAAAAATTTTGCCCAAGTCTCATTATCTTCAGTAATTCAACTTAAGGTAGGTTGATGCCCATTATAGACTTGTAAGAAGTGTGATTTGGGGACCCTCCTCAACCTTTAGCCATCATTAACCGGAATACCTAACCTCAAAGGGAAAATATATGCAGCCATGTTAGTGACTCCAATCACAAAGAAGAATAAGACATGGTCCCAATTCCTGAGAATTATATGAAGGAATTAACTGTAATGGTAAACAAGGCAGGAAAAAACACCTTTACTTCAGAATCCCAAGAAGTGCTTAGATCAAAGATATTTCAAAGGATTCTCTACTTAAGCTTATTATCTGTTCTATCTCAGTTTATAGTATCGTGAGACATACGTTTAAATTAGCTCCTCAAGATTTTAATCTCAATTAATCTGTTTTATACAACACGCAAATATTTTACAGTAATCCTGATGATGCAATGCAATGAGACTACGGATACTGCCAATTAAGGCTCTTTAAGTTTAACACAACTTTAAAAGCTTTTTACATTTCAGTGCACAATTCTGGTGGAAGAGATTTAAACATCTAGTCATACACATGACAGATAAACAGTCACTAGGGGCCATCACTCTGTGTCTTTCTGAAACATGTGCTATGGAAGCATGTTCCAACAGGATGCCATCATGGAATGAAGTCTGGCTCCCAGTGACTTTGGGTGGGGTTATGTCCTTGCCAACCCCCCTAGGAAGATTCCGGACTTTAGCCTGAATACCACAAATCTGTAAAGCCTTGTAATCATTTCTTTTAGGTGTTCTACAAGTTTAATCCTGTTATTTCTTTAAAAACAAAACAAACAAGCCAGCTGAAAACTTACCTCAAGCTTTCCTAATGGGAAAAAGTTTTTTCATTGGGTCTTTTTTTTTCCAAATACAAAGTGTAATTATAATTAGTTCCAAAAGATAATGACAACATTCAATTTACACCATATAGTAAATCACAGAAATGACAGCTTTCAACAGACAATTCTGGATTTTTGGATGGATCTATATGATCACATCCTCAAGGTTTTAGCAACAAAAATGTATATCAACAGTGTATTTAAAAACTAAAAGTAAAGAGCACCTGGGTGGCTCAGTCCGTTTAGCACACGACTCTTGATTTTGGCTTAAGTCCTGATCCCATGGTGGTGGGATCGAGCCCCATATTGAGCTCCATGCTGAGTGTGGAGCCTGCTTGGGATTCTCTCTTCCTTTCCCCTTACCCACTTGCCCACATTCTCTCTCTCCCTCTCTCAAAAAAAGAACTAAGGGGTGCTTGAGTGGTTCAATCAGTTAAGCATCTGACTTCGGCTCAGGTCATGATCTCACAGTTCATGGGTTCAA